ATTGTTATCTTCCTAATTCCTGTTCTTCTTCTTATTCTCTTGTACTCAGTAACCCTCTTGCATCTTAATGGATTTATTGCCTTATGTTATATTCTGAGCTAATAGGAATATATACTTGAAAAACAATGTGGATAAAATAAGTAAAGGTTTATTGTAAAAAATCAGTACAATGAGAATAAAGGTAAGTTATGCACAAGGTTGTTGCAAGTCAATCCAATAGTGAGTGTTACTATTGGAAGGTCGGTAGTTCTCACATAAATCCAAGACGTACTCAATAGATCCTAGCTAGTCTCTGTAGTCCGTTAACTTACAGATACTTATAGTTAGTTACTACCTATAGTGTAGAAACTTATGGGGGGTGACAGGTTATTCCATTTTCATCACCTTACTTATGGGGAAATGATTAAAAAAGAAAGAAAAATCATTCCACTTAAAATGAGGAACTTTGTGTTCCACAGCTTTCCTTTTCTTGCTAAATGTACTTATCAGCTTGCAAATCTAAATTTGATTAAAAAAAAAAAAAAAGAAATAAAAAATAATCAGTATATGGTTAATTCTGATAAGTGTACATTGTTATTTTGATTAGATCAAGTTTGGCAAAAGGCTACAAACATTAAACATCCAATGGTGATTAAACACACTGGCAAGGGCTGCACAAGATGCCAGATATTTGCACGACAATTAGCAGGAAAAAAAAAAAAAAAAAAAAAAATATATATATATATATATATATATATAGATATCTATTTATTAAAGACATTTTTATGTTTAACGTTGTTATTTATAGATACAAGTATTTAAGCAAATGCTCTGTTCATGATAAACAGTATTAAATAACATTTACCGCCTGAATGTCCGGAGAAATTTTCATAGAAAATATTCGTTTTTTTGACAGGATTCAACCTGCATCCTATAATGGAACCGTCATTTACGCTGACGTGCCTTTACCTCTGGGCCACAAAGAACCTTTCGGTAGACAAGGTCGAATTTACTGCTTATAAACTTCAATCTTCCATGAATCTTGTACATTCATAACTGCTCTGGCGTATCAAATGTAAACAAATGACATCATATATTAAGAAATGGACAAGGTCCGACAATTTATTTATTAAAGACATTTTTTATGTTTAAATATTTTTATTTATCTATAAATAACAACGTTAAACATAAAACATGTCTTTAATAAATAAATTGTCGGACCTTGTCCATTTCTTAATATATATATCTATCTGAAAATAAAGAAACCAAAAGAAATAAACAAACAAGCATTTTGAAAGAACATTTTAATATTTATTTGCTGAACTATTAAAAATATCTGATATTTGTAAATGAAATAGTGATTAGACAATATGAGATTAAGAGCAGATTTAAAAATTGAAAGGGGGGGAGAGAGAAATGCAGGTTTGTAAATATGAGACTTGTAGTTTTTATTTTTAAAATGAAAACGAAACCGTTTTCTTCCCATTTTGTAAGTTTTGAATGAATTATATATTTCTAAAGAATTAATAAATTTTAATTTATAATCCCAGATATTTTTATTGCTCTAAACATTATTTTTAGTGGATACGCATATTTCAGTAGACGCTACATTTATTTTAAATATTATTTTATTTCCTCTACCAACCGGCCTTCACATTTGAGATTTATTAAAGAAAGTGTGCCCTCCAGTAGGAGTCAAACTGGCACCCCCGTTGGCAAGAGAAACCGCAATTGAATCAGATGTGCTTTAACAACTTACTCATAAAGAGCTTCACAATCAAGATTAAGGCAGATTTTCCTGCAAAGCAGGACACAGGTTCGAATCCTAACAGAAGGCACATCTTCTTTAAAAAGATTTTTCCAATGATCAGGCTGGTAGGGGTTTGTCTTTTGGTCATTTCTTCATAGTTTATGTTACTATTTCATATTGGGGGATTTTTCCGTGGTCACAGGCTTGTTTGTTTTACCAATACCTTACACACACACGGTGAAGGGTCTATGTATGCAACACATGCACTGTAAATAATTTTATGTGGCGTTCTCAAAGCGAAGAGAGATGGAGTAATATGGTCTTCATTTCTATTCAAGATGAACATAGTACGGTACTGACATATTTTATAGCAAAGTGATCAATGAATTTGTCAAAAAGAAATGAAGTGAACTGATTTATAAGTAAATATAAATTATCTTATCATTTGTAGGTTTTATTATTTTCTCAAATTTCTTGATTGATTTGTTTAATGGCATATCAACTCCTTATGGGCTATATATTGCCAAAATTTAATTTTCAGTGGAGCTCTGAAGTAATAAAAATTATGATATATGTTATTCTGCTTTCACAATTAAATAAATGGTAGATGATACTCAGCTTTTGTACATATACATGTTTGTGTGAACACTAGAGACAGTGATATGTGTGTTTATGTTGTAGTTTTGTTGTAGTTACATTTTGGAATACAGTTTGATATTGTAGGATATTATATGGACTAATGTCATGAAAGAATGCTTTCATGTTTTATTAGTTGATTTTGTTTGGCGGCATATCAACACCTCTATGGGTTATTTAATGCTGAAATCTAAATATTTTATACATATTTTTATACTTTCAGAATAAAAGTAAGTTTTTTTTTAGATATATATTCTGTAGATCATGAAATGTATTTTTAATATTATTTTTAGTGTTGCACTGTCATTTCACTATAAAAATGTACTGTTGATTTTTGTTTAGTAGTTCACTATTTATCCATAGCTGGAACCCTAACAGATGCTACCACCCCGGGTCAGAGTGGACCTGAGAACAACAGCAATTAAGAGGTGGTGCTATGCTCATCAAAACCTCCAATATCCAAATCAGAGGCCTTGCTGCTGGTGTAGTTCATTGTTATACCCAATAACTGCCATCATAATAAACTGTAGCAAGGGTATTACTAGTGGAGGGAAATCAAGTTCAGTGAAGAGTGGGTATCAAGTCCAAACAGGGTTTGTTGGTAGAAGGTCATTTTCTTGCATTAAAATTATCCCATTCACAGTTGGGGGTGTGGATAATTGTCCAGACAAAAAAAAAGTAAAGCCCCACCACACATGTCCTGGTTTCCAAGTTACTCTTTACCACTTATAAGAGATGAGAGAGAAAGAAAGAAAGAAAGTCCCCCACCCACTGATGATACCAAACTTTGCAAAATTGTCATATATATATATATATATATATATGAGGTGGATCAATAATTGCATATAAAATTTTCACATAGATGCTTGATGTTATAAGATATATATATATATATATATGTGTGTATATGAGAGAGGTTTGCCTGAGGATTGCAAAAGCGTGAAACCCAGAGTTACAAGCTCATATCCATACAACTGTAAAAAAAAAAAAAGAAAAAAAAAAGAAAAAAATTACATATATATATATATATATATATATATGTATGTATGTATGTATGTATGTATGAAGAGCTAATGATTCTATATCTTTATTAATTTTCCTTGATTGCACAGGCCGAGAAATGTAATAAACAGTTCAAAATAAAAACGGGGCGTTTATTTCAAACACAGGTATCCACTAAAAATAACATTGGAATGTATGTATATATTATATATACTATATATATATTATATATATATATATATATATAGTGCCAACTTAATACTGGGGAGAGAGAGAGAGAAAAAGTTTCTTTCCCTGAACTTGCTGCTCTTCATTCCAGTTTTGCTCAATTGTCTCATAGGACATCTGAATGTGACAGAATGGGAATATAGTCACCCCCCACCAAAATAAAAAGGGGTTCCATATAACATTCCCAAAAGCTTACCAAGTGCGACAGACATGTTACAGTGGTTGAACAATTTTGACAAAGAAATAGAATTTGAAGTTATTAAAAAGAAAAATTTTGGAGTACACAATTTGTTAACAAGTTCTAAAATCTGACTAAATCTTAAGCAATTCAACAATGGACATCAACATGGCTTAAGCAAATATTAGAGAGGGAAAGTTAAATCAAACAAAAATAGTTACAAAATACATTATTTTATACTACATTCAGGACTGACTGATCAATTGATTTTTTATGGCATATCAACCTTTTGTGAGTCATTTAATGCCGAAATATATTTTGGGTGCATTCAAGATTTTTACCAATTCAACTAATTTACTTAAATGACTTTTTTTCCCCTTCTTTTTAAGCCTAAGCATAAAAAAATGTAAAGTAACCATTTAAGCAATTGGATGAGTAATTCTTGCAAAAAAAGGGGGGGTGAATATGGCAAAAACTCTTAACAGAGAATTTTATCTGTGAATTATTTTAGAATTCTTTTATTCATATTCTTTCTGCTTTTATCTCAACATTTGCAGCAAATGTATTCTTTGACATATCCAGTTTAATCTGAGAACTTTTGCCACAGAAAAAATTAAACGAGACTTCCAATTCCACAAACTTTTGGAAAAAATGGCAAAGCCTCATCTCAAAATTTCAGGCTCTATACAGAAATTGGTTATAAATTGCCAAAGCAAGGTAACCAAGAAATTTGCTCTGAGGTTAAAGAACGAATGAAAACTTCTTGAAATCGTTATGCAGCTTTGATGATTGAAGGTAGAGGGGGGGAGGGGTGAAGCTAATAGGGTGTACATTCAGAAGTAGAGATAAAAAATAGAGGGAAGAGGTGGAGGACAATAACAACGCTTCACTTCCATCTTCCCTGGTTTAAAGTGATGTGAGAGAAAAAAAAAAAAAATAATCTTATTCTCAAAATTATGATATTGAACTTTTTTTTTTATGGTGGCAAACAAAATTAGGAATAAATCATCATATTAAATAATCATCATCATGGAAAGAGGGGGGAGGGCAAGAGGCAGACATGCCCTGATCTCTTGAATTATTATTATTATCATTATTAACAAGCATAGAAATTGTTTTCAAGAAATGATGATTAAGATGGTAGTGGTAGTAACAAGAACAATTTCAAACTTCCATTTCTAGAATAAAAAGATGAGGGATGATGCCGTAGATGTCCCAAACTGTAGCTTATAGATAATTATCACACCAGGTCTTCAAACAGTTGAAACAATCATTGCCCTGCTTTGCGTTTGCATGTATGGATGTCCGTAACCAATCAAGGAAAAGGTCTTCATCTTTGTTGAGAAGTAGGAACTGGCCAAGTACATTGTATGCCTGAAAATAGATTAAGAAACATAAAAAATGTGTTGAAAAATCATTTTTCTTTTTTTGCAAGGTCAATTCATTGGAATATTTAAATACACATTTGAAAGAAGAGAAAAACTGTCAGGACTATTCTAGAAAGTGAGCAGTTTCTGCACTGCAGGCACAAACACTACTTGAAGCATTTCACCCCCAAGCAAGGCAATAAAGCCACTAAGAACGAAGGAGTAACCAAGTGCAAAAGAATATGATTCAAAGAAAAACATTAGGAGAGAAAACAATAAAATAGGAATTAACTTTAGCACATGGCATTATTAAATGTTACTTTTCTTTCCACTGCATTAATTGCAGTAACCTTATTGTTAATTTCACTCAAAGATTTTTCTGTTGCCATAGCAGGATATGACAACACAACTATGAAATTCATACTCACTATTGTTCATGGGTCAGAGTCATTTGCAGTGGTAGGGTAAACTTTTTGTACAGCAAATGAAGTCACATACAGAGTGATGAAGGTTAAGGAGAGAGAAGATAACAATTGACATTGCAAAGTTGACTGGGAAGCAAGAAGACAGAAGAGAGTTCCATAAGCAGGAAGTACAAGAGAAGAAACTATTAGCAGAGAACTTATAGTTACATCTTAACTGCAAAATGAGACCGTGCCACCAATCCACAGGGTGTTCCAAAAGTTACGCCACAATTGGCAGAAAATGTACACTTGTGAAATGCCAACCAGGAAAAATTTGCATGGCATCATCTTCCATAATCCAACCAGTAAAATTTCTTAATAATATATTGCCACATACAGAAACATGATTCCAACTGGTAAATAAATCTAAAATTTAAAGGGTTGTCAATAGAACACCCTGTAGATTCTTTATTTGAGACACAATCTTTTTAAGGTTTCTTTACCCAATCTCATATTAGAACAACTTGGTGAGAGAGTGATATAAACAAAAATAAAGACTCCATTAAATAGATATATATGGCGTCCCAAAAATCAGGCAGTAATTGTCAGAAAACGTACACTTGTGAAATAGCAATCGGGGAAAATTTGCATGACATCATCTTCCATAATTTGACCAATAAAATTTCTTAATATATTGCCACATACAGAAACATGATTCTATCTGGTAAATAAATATAAAATTTACAAGGTTATCAATGGTAATGCGACTTTTGAAACACTCTGTAGAACTGTGCTTAAATTCATGAAGTCTAGGTACCAAAAAAAGAATGCTCATTAGAACAATAATCATGAAAATATTTATAGAAAAGACAGAGAGAATCTACATTATAGTGATGGCAAAGTGACTGAAGCTGAGATGCCAGGTCAGGACTGATAACATTATCTAGAATTTCAAAATACATAACAGAAGCACTTGACAAGTTGTGGTAGCAATATTCAATGCAGTGAAACCATGAAATGATTAAAAAAAATAAATAAAAAAAAAATTTTAAAAAATTGTAGAACACTTTTGAAAAGCATTACATAAACAGTTTTGTTTAATGCATCTCTCACTCGTGGAACTATTTTCCAACTTTTTGATTCTCCATCAACTTTGATCTCCACAAATTTAAATACAATGTTAATTCCTGTTCTTTAATTTTCTTCTCTCTTTAATAGTATATTTTCTCATATTCTCTAACACTCAGTAATCCCCACCCCTTGCGTCTTTGTGGCTTTATTGCATTGCTTGGAGTAAAATGATGAAAAATAATAATAAAAAAGAAGCGCAAGGCAGTCACAGATTAAAAATTATAATAAGGGAGGTAATTCATACTTTACAAAATTTGTTCTCATAATTACAGGTACATATGCAGTGTTCTTTTGGGGTGTCAACGATCATGGCTCTACACATTTTCCTATTCTTTGTAGTTTTTAGCAATGTTTTTCTTTTCACTGTCCCTACCCTAGTCTATTAATTTTGTCTTTACAATTACATTTATTTATACCTGAATTTTTACATATAAAAATATGTATCGTCTATATGCAGTGTCCCTTCAGGATATGAGCAATCACAATTCTCCACAATATCTTGTCCTTTGTAGTTCTTAATAAAATTGAGTTTTTTGTTATTTCTCCTAATTCCTATTTGAACAACGAATTACACGAGCTTCTTAGGTAGATTATGCACTGCTTTCTGCCCCTCTTGCCTTCAAGATGTCTTGTGAGTGTAAAATTTTCTAAGCCATCTTTCCTCACTATGTGATTTATTTCAACTGTCTCTTTCTGAGTCTAAGTATAACTTTTTAATTTCCACCTTCTTTAAAACTTTCTCATAACTCACATGTTCTGCCCATGATATTCTCAGTATCCTTCTATAGAACCAAATTTCTGTTGCTTCAAATTTTAAATCTGAGGAGATTGTCCAGCATCCACTGCCATATAGGAGGACTGATATTAAGCAACAGTTCAGTAATCTTTTCTTTGTTTATCCCGGACAAGCCCCATTTTGTTATGTGTTGATAATTGTAACAAAGGAAAAAAAAATGATTTACCACAACACAGAGCTAAATCATAAACAAATATTTAATTTAATAAAACAGAACATAAAATATATACCAGATAAACAATTGTGGCCTACAAAACAGAAAACACAGAGTTACTGGCGAAGTGTTACGAGGGAGAAGGAAAGGGAGTCAAATATCTTTATTACTTTAGGGCTAGTGAAGTAATCTAAGTGCTATATTTGGAAATCCACAAAGGTGTGTAAATAAATATTAATTTTTAGTTTGGTCAATGAAAATTAGTCAAAATTCTATTTACCAAATTTGTTGCATGAAATTCTCTTTTGGGTTTTGGTTGGTCGGCAACTTTTTCATTCTTTCGGCTGGATATAATAATCCTTAAATCAAAAAGCCGGAGTTGATACAGGCAACAATTTCCTTTCACCAACTAACTACCCTTTTCTAAAATCTCATTTTTATAGGGGCTAACACCTAATTTGCATATTTCTAGATGTTTCTCGAATCATCTAGATTTTTCTCGAATATACTAGAATGATCTAGAATCTTCCAAACATTCTAATTTCTCTGTTTTACAACTACTTCATGAATGAAAATTTTTTTGTAATAACAAGTAGAACTCAGTGGAATCCCTTATTATACAAATGCATCCTTGTAACACCTATTTACATTGTTTGAACTGTTGTCCTCATCTGCATTGCCATATACACATTATGAGTTCAATACCTGACTACAGATGAGGTATGAAAATAAAAAATATATTGCTCTGTAACTTACATTGGACTCTCATTGGATTAATGTCCTCATTGAAATTATCCCTATCAATTACAAATTGGTATTATTTATTTATCTGCAGCACAGATCCTAGTAAAAAATAAAATTAATTATATACTTTTCTTCTTGCAATAAATAAGTATCTTTTTAGTTTAATCCGAACCACAGAGAATATACAAACTGCTGTTATTTCTATATTAATTTCTGCATCAATAAACTTTGCCCAGAGATCTACTGCCACAAATTACCTAACCATCCATAGATCAAATTTTGTGATTTATAAGGGGTTGCTTGGCCTAACCAGCAATAAAATTCAAAAATAAATTTCTGGTGTTTGATTTAGATTTAAGTTTATTTTGTTTTACAGCATATCAACACCTCAATGAATTATTTAATGCTGATAAGATTTTTAGAATAGATTCATATGAATATAATGTGTATTCTTTGTAAGAAATCAGTTTTTGTAGATCAGGTTTCATTGTCATATTTTTGTAAAGAGGGTTCTTTTTGAAAGTCAAACTTATTGCTGGTAATATTTTTTCTTTTTTTTTCAAAAATGTACTGCTGGTATTTTTTACTTTAAAAATTTATTTTTATACTTTCAGTGTTTTGACCCTAGTTTTGAGGGTCACTATTGCTCATAGCTGGGACCTTATCAGGTTCATTCTACCACCCCAGCTCAGGGTGGACCTGGGAACAACAGCAATTAAGAGGTGGTTGGATGCTCCTCAAAACCAGACCAGAGGACTTGTTGCCGGATGTGGGTTACTGTCATACCCGGAATGATCTGGTGTTTGATCAGATTATGGAAATAGATCTGTCTCGGAACTTTTTAGAATCTGTTATGAGTATTTGTTTGAAAGCCTACCAGCTGTCTATATTTCTGAGATGAGGTATTGTAATTATTTACATTGTTTGGACTGTTGTCCTCATCAGGATTTTGGAGTCAAAAGCAATTAAGGGGTCACTGGAGTTGGAGTCAGTAAAACTATACCAATTCCAGTTGAATTTACACTTTATGTAAAAATTCTTACATTACAGAATTTTTATTTCTTCTATTGTATATTTACTTTTGCCTTTAAAGAAATTCATCTCAACTTCTTTTTTAAAATCATTTTATTTTTGTAGTTATTTTGCATTTACATTATAGAGTTTTTATTTTTGTCTTTTTACATCCTGTAAAGGATTATATTTCAACTTTGGCTATAGTTTTATTTTTTTTCTGTATTTATTTCTTTTTCAAATATATATTATATATATATATATATATATATATATATATATATATATATATATATATATATATATATATATATATATGTGTGTGTGTGTAAAAAGTCTTAGATTATAACATTTTTATTTTAATTGTTATTTTTTCTATATCCTTTCAAAGATTTTGTCTCTAATTCTGTTAGAAAATATTGAAGAATGAATAAATATGATATAAAAGCCACATCTTTTATTTTTTGATATAAAACAGTTATGATATAGGCTGACTCAAGTTATGAGCGTATTCATAGGCTTTATGAGATTTGTAGGCCATAATCACTTAATGACATGAGGAGTCAAAGTTTTTGTGTTCTGACTCCACAGCCCTAGTCCTCATCTTCATTGCCGTATCCACAGCAGAAAGGAATTGGATAGGGTTTAACTGATCACTAATCCTTGAATAAGCTGTTATTTTTATGTTTATGAACTTTTTAGGTTCCTGAAGGTGTTTCAACTAGCTTCATCTAAAACTGATCACTTTAACCCTTGAATAAGCTGTTATTTTTATGTTTATGAACTTTTTAGGTTCCTGAGGGTGTTTCAACCTTTTCATCTAAAACTGATCACTGTAAACCCTTGAATAAGCTGTTATTTTTATGTTTATGAACTTTTTAGGTTCCTGAGGGTGTTTCAACTAGCTTCATCTAAAACTGATCACTGTAACCCTTGAATAAGCTGTTATTTTTATGTTTATGAACTTTTTAGGTTCCTGAGGATGTTTCAACTAGCTTCATCTAAAACTGATCACTGTAACCCTTAAATAAGCTGTTATTTTTACAAGCAAGAGGTGGTTGTCTCTTCTGAAAGTCAATTCTATTATTTATCTTGTAACTGACCCTTTATGTTCCTGGGAGTATTTCAACTAGCTTCACCTAAAACTTCCTCAGATCAAAAGCTTAAACACAAAGTGTGTAGCGAAGAGTGAAATGACCAGACCTACAGGATATGAGAAGTAGCTGTGTTATAGGAACATCAATTTAAGCTGAAGAATTAGTGCTTATTTCTGACCTATGTTGCGTATGGCCATAAAAGGAAAGTCTGGGTGGTTTTAAAGAAACACTATATTACCTTCTCAAAGCCTTGATCTTTAAGACGATTCCCGAGAACTTCACCAATTCCAGCTAAAGCATCAACTGGCTTCTCTCCCATCGGTTCATCAACAAAGCTACGGAATTTCTGGCTGGTAGACATGATCTAATTCTGTGAAAAGAAAAAGATGAGAAACTTTGAAAAACTTGCATATTTCATTTAACACACTTTACAACACATATTATACAATTCTGAAAATTCTTTGAAGAAAATTATATATATATATATATATATATATATATATATGTATGCATGCATGCATGTATGTATAAAATAATGGACTCTCCCGTCAGTTTCGACGTATGAGGATCTGACAGCTTAATAGATTCAGTTATGAAATTTTGTGAGATAATCTTAAGTAGCACTTAAGACCTGCTAGTGATTTACAAAGGAGGCCACATATGGAGCAAGTGTGAGGATTATGAAATCACTGTTAGATTGGCTGGCCTTTTAGATCTTGCTTCTTGAAGATGATTCAGACAAGCAGATTGAAAACTGCTGAGTCCACTAAAACACGTTGATCTCCATTCTACCCGCTCAAGGGTGTTACGTGGTATATTGACAGCTGACAAGTTGCTTTTCAGCTTGTCTTTGTATCTTAAGGCAAACCACCAGAAAACCCCCACAAGTGATTTGATTAAAGTGGTGAAGGCTTGTGCAGAACCATCCACACTTTTCGGAACTATATATCATTCCTTACTGGAATTTTTTTTTTCTTTTTTTTTTCTTTTAAGCAGTATACATTCAACCTTAAAGTCTAAGGGATCTGAATGTGTGTGGGTGGGGGTGATTCTAATCCTAACAGTTCTTTACCATTAATCCCATCAAAGAAATGCTCCTGAAAGTCTGCATGATGGTATGCAAATGATAGCAGCAAAAGACTGTACAAAACAGCACTCTCCAAATTCAGCAATAAGCACTTTAACTTTGTGAAATGTACTTTTGTATACACACTCAAATATGAGCATTTATATTAGAGTTGGTTGGTTTGGTAATTTATGTTTCAGTATCGATTCCGGTCTTTTATTCCTTGATATCGTGGTTTTCGGTTTTTAATTTACTATTTTTGCTTTCTAAGGAAGCCATTCATTTTCTTGTGTAATGATAGCATTTCCAGTTGATATCTGATTTCGTTTGAGATTGATAAATTTGCAGCTTAGCCTGTTTAACTCGCAATATCTCATGTATCTTTGGTTCAATCATGAAAAATATTCATATGGCTGGAAAGAAAATAAAATAATCTTTCTAAATATGTAATTTGTACGTGCTTTTATTCATTGAATTATTTTTTACAGCGAGTTAAAACGGTATTGCTTTGAACAGCTGAAAATGCGAAATATAATTTTTATTCAAGACTAATTTTACACGTTACTTTGTTTCGCAAAAATTAAAAAAAAAAAATTAGAACATTTCCTTTCTAGTGTGCCAGTCAACTGTTATTGGGGTCTTGCAAATAAATTTCTTTTAAACAAGGAAAATCAATGAGTTATTTTTCCCCTAAACAAATTTGTTTTTATCTAGCGAATACACCTAAAATTAAATATTAAAACTAATTAAAAGCTTTTAATTTCATTTTTAGAATGTGTATATTTCCTAATCTGTGAGTATCACCTGTTCTTTTTTAAATGTACATTTTAAAACTGAAATTAAAAACAATTTTAATCATTTTTTTTTTTTTTTTCAATATAATCTTACTTAAATTCGCCAAATAAAACAATAAAGATATTTGTAAAAAATAAAATGAATTAACTTTTCTTGTTTAAAAGAATTTTATAGGCAGAACAGTAACAAACAACATCTTACTTTATTTTTTTGATAACTAATTTCAGGTGTATTTGCTAGATAGAAACATTTAATTTGTAGAAAACAGACTCGCATATCTGGAAATATATACATCTTAAAAGTGAAATTAAGAACTATTTTAATTATTCTTAATATCCAATTTAAGTGTATACCCTAGATTAAAAAAAAAAAAAAAAAAAATCTTCATTCATTTTTCTTGTTTACAATAACTTTAATTTATGATTGGCATAACACTAGCTTACTAGAAAACAATTACCCTTGCTTGCCTTACAAATCCGACTTCATAAAATTTAACATTAAGACGAAATTGGCAACTATTTTTTTTTTTTAATCACTATTTTTATGTTAACTTAATTTTACCACAAAAAGTTTTTTGCTTTTTTTTTTTTTTTTTTAAAAACTGAAACAAATAGATTTCGTATTTATTTCCTAAAACTAGTCAATTAAATGTTTTTAACATTTTTGTGCAATCTTTTTCTCTTTCAACAGTATAAAGTGGTTAATTTTATTAACATTTGAAAGTCTTTTTCAATAGTGTTTCTTTGGATATGGTCACTCAGTAGTGATAGCACTAAACTGAACGTTTTTCGGTTTTATAAAAAATTTCAATGCGGTTTCATGGTTAATTATATATATAAATAAAATTATATTTGCTCTACTCTGTAGCACTCTTAAGAATAGAATTTGTTGGTTATTGGAATTTATTCTGTATACACCAATCCTATACGTGTGTGTGTGTGTGTGTGTATATATATATATATATATATATATATATATATATATAAAATTATTTATTTAAAAATTATAACATAAATGTTATAAAATCACTACAAAAATAGCCATTTTGTTTCAACACCTTTGGTGTCTTATCAAGTGATGATGTTGAATGTAGAATAAAGGGTTTTAAAAGGTTCAACACTTGATAAGACACCAGGTGTTGACACAAAATGGCTTTTTTGTTGGGATCTTATAACATATTTATGTTATAATTTTTAAATAAATAATTATATTTTCTTTACTCTGTATTGAGCACTCTTTTAAGAATAGTAATTGTTGGTTATTGGAATTTATTCCATATACACCAATCCTATACTTGGAGATATAACTCGCCATTTTTTTTTTCAACATATAAGGGTCTAATAGAACCTACAACCATACTATCTGCACATATGATTTGCTTAGTGGTGAAAATTTGGGTAGAACCAGCCACACCTTTTTGGAAGAGCCAAATACACAGATCTGGTGTACAGTATGCTACAAGGTCCTAGACTGTTTGCCACCCAAGGCTATAGGACCAAGTCTGTCCTGCTATTCACCCATCGCTGGGGGTGGGGATAAGAGACGGATTCATTTCTTTCCCAAGAGTATTAACATGTAGGTGAATGTAATAAACTCTATTCTCCAATTCCTCATTAAATAATTTAGACAAGTTTTGTCTACTTATTTTTAATATGATCATATCCACATACAAGCTTCTTAGTATCCTTATTAAAGGAAGAAACTAAGTTACCATATTGATGTACATTCATTTATTCCGAGTACTTTTGACATTAGAAAAATGCCATCTTCAGAGTCTGGTTTTGTCTAAGACAAATTTGTTGTGTTTATCTGAAAATTAAATTTTTTTTATTTATGAAAAAAAAAAAAAAAAAACCCCACACTAAACTCACATACTGTACGTTTTTTAAATTTTATGATGTAACACCAAGGGAGGTAACGAAGTTAGTAAGATGTCTATCTAAAACTATTTAAAGCTATCACCGTCAAAAAACTAATACAGAATTTATCCATTTCAATGTTTCAGTCAGACGAAAGGCACAAGACAGTGGTCAGGGGAGGGTGGAAGATATTAGTCTTAAAGCGAAGAGGTTTTATAAAATTAAACCCAGATATTAACCATATTAAATTGGGGATATATGAAGAATGAAATGTTAATTTGAAACTAAGAGAGGAATTAAAAAAAAAGAAACCTTAAATCATAGATAAAGTTATGTTTAAAAATATAAAATCATACTAAAAAGTACACTTTCAAAGACCAGTCATATTTAAAAATATAATCTCTTTAAAGTTTAAGAAACACCTATTTCACAGCACACAAGTAACATTTTATGATCATTATCTGTACACAGTGGCAGATTTACATATAGGCCAGTATGAGCTTCAGCCCAGAGGCCCCAACAGCTCTCAAAGTCTTGCACCCCTGATAAAACTAAGGTTTGGTTTATTTTCAGATTTAATGGGGCTCCTTTGAACTAATTTAAAACAATTTAGAGTATTTGGGTCCCTCTAGTTTGAGTGGGTCTTTTAAATTCAATGGGGCCTCTTCAGAGGGTCATTTAGATTTTGATGCATCTTTTTTATATACAGATTTTTACAATTTTATCCCTCACTGAACACAGGAATGCAATAAGTGCAAATTTGCTCAATATTGTACAAATTAGACAAAATAACATTGTTTAAAATATGTATGAATGTATCTCCAAAGAAACAAGATACTTAATATTTAAAATTTTAGTTTTAATTTTAAGCTAATAGATTACTGTAATTTCTTGAAAATATGCACCCATAAATAATGCACACAAATGATCCAAAAATTAAGAAATATGCCTATCCCCATGTATAATACACATCTATAAATTTTGTCAAAAAAAAAAAAAAAAAAAAAAATTATGAAGACATTTTGCTGACCCTGAATTTATTGCAAAATGGACTCAGGATTCTGTCAGTGAGGATGTTATAAAGAGATGTTTCAAGAAGAGCTGTCTCATGACAGCCATTGATAGCGCTGAAGATCATATCCTTTGACAAGAGAATGAAGAGGCCAAAGATAATTTTGAACAAGACGAAGATAATATTGTGAATGACAATTTAGATATTGATTCTATAATAGAAAGTGGTGGTGGTGATGATGATGAAAATTAAAATTTCAATAAATTCTTAACTTGATATCCTCTTTTCTTCAAAATTAGACGTTTTATAGATTTTTTTATTTTTTTGCCAAATAAAAAAAATGCAGTTACTGATAAACATAAATATATTGACAAAAAAAAAAAAAAAAAATGTTACAATTATTATTGTTGGATTTAAAATGAAAATTGAGATGTCTTTCTTATTTTAGAACAAGCACGTATTTATTATTATAAAAATAATGAAAAAATATTTCTGTTTAAACATATTTTTAATATGCACCCACTACTACCACCTGTAATTTGCAGTAAAAAAAGCACGTATTATTTGAGAAATTATAATAATAAAAATACTTTGCTGTTTTTCAAAAACTAATTTAAATTGGAAGGAGTTTTTGTTTT